GGGTGTGTGGGGACAGAGCGGCCCCCTGGGTTCCTGCCAGGCACTGACTCCCTCTGTCCTCTGTGCTGTGTTCACCCCCTAGGCTGCTGGTGGTCTACCCCTGGACTCAGAGGTTCTTTGACTCCTTTGGCGACCTGTCCTCTGCTTCTGCTGTTATGGGCAACGCTAAGGTGAAGGCCCATGGCAAGAAAGTGCTGAACTCCTTCAGTGATGGTCTGAAGAGTCTCGACAACCTCAAGGGCACCTTTGCTAAGCTGAGCGAGCTGCACTGTGACAAACTGCACGTGGATCCTGAGAACTTCAAGGTGAGTCTCGATATTCCACTATTTTCTTTTAACTTTCTAGTCTTTCACTCTGGTTTCTTCACCTACATGTTCTTCCTCCATGTTCCTTTTTACTTTATTATATATCATCATTTAATGCTTTCCAAAATGTATATCATTTTCTATTTTTTCTTTCAATATTCCATATTGTTTCTTTTCTCACAACTTTGCTTTTTAAATCAAGCTGCTTACTTAATGTCTTATCTTTTACTTATCTCCCTTTCTTCCCCTAATTTCCCTTTCCCTAACTGGTACCCAAATTACACATATCAGCTCTTACCTGCTACTTCTACACTTGGAAAAATCCTACATATGGGGATTGAAAATGTGTCCAAAAAAGAGAGCACAAGATATTATTCCAGAGGCTCCAACTAATTTCAAAATTGAAAAATAATCAGAACTTTATGTAGTCAAGACTCAATGGAAAGAAAAGGAAAGGGAATATCTGAGCATGAAAAGACCAGAAATAGGAGGTACATCAGCAATAGTTGCTAAAAGACAGCCTGTCATCTCATTAATTAATCAATAATTAGTATATAATATATGATAAATATACAAATATATAGTATATATACATTTTTATGCATTTGCATTATATATAATATAATGCATATATATTTACTCATTTATGCTGGTGGGGATAACCCAAGGATCCATTTGGGCTCAAGTATTGGCAGAAAAAAAATGATTGTTGACCCCTTTCTCAGAAGCAAAGCTTGATTTCCTTGTTAATCATGTGTATGTGTTTATCTACCCCTTCTCGCAGCTGCTGGGCAACTGCTTAAGTTCTAGGGGCACAGCTTGGGATGGGGCTGGAGTACTCTGAATCCAAGCTGGGCCCAGCTGCTAGCCATGATCATACCCCTTGTCTCTTCCACAGCTCCTGGGCAACGTGCTGGTGTGCGTGCTGGCTCGCAACTTTGGCAAGGATTTCACCCCGCAGGTGCAGGCTGCCTATCAGAAGGTGGTGGCTGGTGTGGCCACTGCCCTGGCTCACAAGTACCACTGAGATCCTGGCCATTTCCTTGTTACTATTGGAAGACCCTGTTTCTCTAGATTCCATCTTCTGAACTTGGGGAAATTATGCCCACCCTCAAGGGTATGGCTTCTGCCTAATAAAGAACTTTCAGCTCAACTTCTTGATTCATTTCACTTATTTTATTATTTTCTTCCCCTGGGATTATGGGAAATTCCCTGAAGACCTGCACATATGGAGCTTGTGTGTCTTATAGAAAGAGGTCAAGAGAAATGAGAAAAGGAAGGGGGTCAAACACATTCTCTAATGGATGATACGTCTACCTCCAAAGCATAGGCATTGTCAAGAAGGGTTGAAACATAGAGACAGTACTGGTATAACAGGGGTTCTGGGGGTACCTCAAACCAATGATATGGACTTCAGTCTAATGCTCTGATGCATTTTCTACAATTACTCAAAATATAATGTGCTCAATTAGAGACATAATGGTTGTTCAAGACACTTATGTTTTCTTTTTTTCTACTTCCCTTGCCTGCACATTGTAGCCCACAATACTATACTCCATTAAGTGTTCCTACTCTAAGGAATAACCTCCTTCTCTCCCTTGTCCCAAAACACCCCCCAAAACTAGCTCCTGCCCTCTCCCCTTCAGGCAAAGTTTAATGCTTGAATATCACTTATAACCTTTTTTTGATCCTGGATTCAATGAACTTTCCAATATTGCCTAAGAAAAATCTTTCCACACCTTCCACATTTTTCACATTTCTTCTTATTCCTTACACTTATTCTCCATGCTGTATAAACATTTCTGCCTATTTTACACTATGCTACATGACTACTGTGCCTTAAGTTTTGATATAGGAATATGCAAATATTTATTCAAAGAAATAAGTAAATGAATGGATAATTATTCCTTGTTTTAGAACTCCTGGGACCAGAGGACAATTCTGACCATTGCACAGAATTCCTTGGATGCTAATGCTATAATATACAATGAGGAAGCACGTAGGAAAGTCAAGTACTGATCAGACATTTTCTTTTTGACTATAGGTCGTAAAATATCTTTGAAGGATTTCTAGAAGCTTCTAACTTGTATGCATTTTAAAAAATCTATATCATGTTCCTGTTAATTAATTTTAGACTTGACTATCATAAACAGAACCTGTTGCTTCTTTCTGTATGAAATTGTTTTCATGACAACTGCCTATATTACCAGGATACAGACAATGCACAGCAATTTATGATTTCACCACTACATTTTTGAATTGCCTGAGGGCAGAGACTTTTTATATTCTTTTTTTTTCATTGTACACAGTAGACACTGAGAATTCTTTATATCTGAATAGGATCTTTAAGAATCACAGGCTTATATCCCAGAAGCAGAGATACCTCAGGGAAATGTTAGGGAGATTGCTTTCACACTCCTGACCACAGAAATGTCTTCATAAAAATCAGATATTGAGAGAAGAAGAGACTTTCAAAGAATTTGAAAGAGGTTAAGAGATATTTTGTGTTTCATGGTCTGGAAAGGGGGAAACAAAGTACCCTTCTTCCTCCAAATGATGAATAGAACAAAAATATATAAGGCTTTCTCTACCCTCTTTTATGCTGTCATTCTGTCACCTCTGGAACTAGCCAATGAATTTAGACAAGAATTTGGATCTAAAATTTCAATATTTAAGAATTAATTGTTTTGTAATAATTATAATAGACTTTACAAAAGTTATGAGTGTACTGAAGTTATTGCTTTTTACAGAGAAATATGACTTTCAAAAAAATGAATTGAACTATCCTATTCCTAAACCACTCTGTGTTTATGTTCTTTGTTTCTATGAGTTTTATTCTTTTTGGAGTAATTTATTTCATTCAACTTTATTAATTTTATTTAATTTTTGAAAGGATGCTAAACTGAGGTAACCAAGAGATTGTACATATAGGAGAGAAGAGTAAAAAAATAACCATTTCACTGAGAAAAATATAGATAACATTGCTGAAATGGTCTTCTTAGGGAATTTTAAATTGAACACTAGAGTGTGTACAAGAGTGTTCTAGTTGAGTGTAATTTTTGGAAGAAATGACAAACCATGCATCTCTGGGTAAATGCCATGATTTTCTTGAAGGAGGTTAATACTTAGTCTCTTAATCGTACTCAGACTAAACCCATTCTGTTATAGAGCAGTAGGCATTCAGTAAACCTGACAGACCAGAG